GCCTGGGTGGCTCAGTTGGTTAAGCATCTGCCTTCGGCTCAGGTCATGATCCCAGGGTCCTGGGATCGAGCCCCGCATCGGGCTCCCTGCTCAGCTGGGAGCCTGCTTCTCTCTCTGCTCCTCTCCCCAGCTCGTGCTCTCTCTCTGTCTGTCTGAAATAAATAAGATCTTTAACAAACAAACAAAAAAAACCCAAAAAAGTTAAAAAAATTTAAAAATATATGGAAAATATAAAAATTTCAAGTACTTACGTCAATTAAATCTGAAAGATCATGAATATAATACTTGAAAACTGAGGCATTGGTTGCTTCAAGGGTTAGGAGATACTCATTCCGTGCCTTAATCGATTTTAGCTTATTTTCTGAATACTTTGCTTGTCTCTGGAAATGAAGATGATCCAGGTATTGAGAAAGACAACAAAGTCATTTAGTCAGAGAAACATACATGACTTTCTACTAATTCAAACAATGGATTCTACATATGCCAATGACCTTAGAAGTTCTCTGAGAAAAGTACATTATGAATCTGATTTAAGTAACTAAAAGTACCCAGCAATGTATTTGGGCTTCAGGCCCAACTGCAAGGAAACCTCTTTGTGAATATTCAAGTTCTCCATGCTGTGTATTGAGTACTTTGCATTCAACACTAAATAATGTCCAGCTGTTAGTCCATGATTTTTATGTTTCTTAAATGTTTTTCATTCCCGTGGGAGGAAATGCGTGTCATTTCACAATAATTTACAATGTGCGTCTATCAGTTATTCCATCAGTGTTCTTAGTATTGTCACCTGAAGTGAGGACAGAAAGGCTCTGTGATGTTTTTTACTTACTTTTTCTTTCATTTTTTCAATTTTCTTTACAGAGCTTCGCCGCTGATGTCTCTCTTCCAGTCTGATATGAAAGACTGGATCACCAGACCTTCCGATTTGCTTTTCTTCTTGTTTCTCAGCCTCTTTCAGCTTGCTCTCTGCACTGATGCTCTCTGCATGATACATATGGTATGTTTTCATCACCTGTGAAAATGTGACCCAAATTGTTACAAGATGCCTGTCTGTAGTGAATGGAAGCCCTTATGTGAGGAATATGTTAAAAATATCACCTTCCAACTGGCAGCGGGAGAGCCAGACTGTTAGTCAAATAGATGAATTATGGACTATTGCTTCTATGTAAAGCAAAGAGAAATATGCAAATTCACCTGCCAGGAAGAGGCACTTAGGGGACAGGCTTTGATGAAAAAATGATTTAGAGTCTTATGCATGCTTTCAGTGCACTTGAAGATTTCCCTTAAGCTTAAAAGTGTTCTCTAAAATCTCTGCATTATTAATCTGCAGAATAAACCACTACTCATGGATAAACTTTACCCCAGTTTTGGAATTCTAAAAAACTCCAAATTAGTACAGCTCTTACTAAAGAGGTTTTTTTTTTTTTGCATAAAATTTTAAGGGCTGAATAATATTTATATGACTGGGACATAGCTTGACTAATTTCCTATTGTTGAACATTTTAGGATATTTCAACTTTTTGCTTTATAAATGAAGCTGTGCTGAAACCCTTGATATACATCCTATCTTATTTCTTCTCTTAGAAATGCTACAATAAGGTGCATTTTAATATATTTAGGAATATATACAAAATAAAATTTTGTAATGTATCCTTTCCATGTGTGCTGTAAACTTACATAAAGAATTCTCAATTTAAAAATTTTAAAAATTATGGGACGCCTGGGTGGCTCAGATGGTTAAGCGTCTGCCTTCGGCTCAGGTCATGATTCCGGGGTCCTGGGATCGAGCCCCGCATCAGGCTCCCTGCTCGGCCGGGAGCCTGCTTCTCCCTCTCTCACTCCCCCTGCTTGTGTTCCCTCTCTCGCTGTGTCTCTCTCTGTCAAATAAATAAATAA